AAAAAAAATGTAAACTATACGACCACAAATTTCCAGAATCACCGCTTTTTCAGTTTAGTAATGGCTGTCAGTGCCTGCCCATCCACTGGCACTTTACAACAACTTACTACTTCTTTTCGTGGAACTAGTTCTACTTTGATTATGAAGGTCGAGGTTACACCAGTCTCAACAAAAAGAGTGTCCTTCTATATTGAACTTAGGCTTGTTCATAAATGCTACCTCAGAAAACTAATCACCCATTGCCGCCCTCCCAAACATCCCAAAAAACTCCTATACCCAGTTAATTCAATTTGGGGCATCGCTTCACTGACGACCGCTAAGCCGAAATAATTTTCACTCTTCAGAAATATCTCTTGAAATAATTCCCAAGATTCCTAACAAAAATACTGTCATTTGAACTAAAGGGTGAGAAAAAGGGTCTAACATCTGATCAAAAGAACAGATATCAGCCAAAACTGTATATTCCATGACGATGTAAAAGACACAAGTGAGTAAAAATAGTTTATTTGAGGGCAAATAAGAGATGTATGTAGAACCCGCATCACGTCTGAAATCGTAAGCACCCGATCGAAGCACCTGAAACTGGATGCAAGAAAAACAAAAAATTAACGAAAAACAAACTTAGCAGCATACACAACGTCAAAGCATAAACAAAAAGAAATGCTTTATATATGCAACTATTCCGTCTTGTTCTCTTCTTCTTCTCATTATGGGCTCTTTTGCCTTTTTTTCTCTGTTCTATTCTTTTTTCTCTTTTCTTGGCCCAACACTCGTCTTTGTTTATATATTTTTATTGACTTTTGGAGAAATTCTGCTCTCTGGTATGATTAAAATGACAACAGATATACAAAAAAANAAAAAAATATGAACGACTCTAATTCAATACTCATAACAATAAAAACTACACATCAATCAACAAAATATGGTTACAGTTATAGGCTATGAAAGGTAACAGTCAAAATGATAATGAACACTAAGACCACAACCTACGATACATATGGTGGTTTCCTCAGAAGATCGAATAGATCGCATCCCAAGGCGAAATCACTGATTCTGGATACAAAAGACCATCGTATAATAGCGTCCTTTGCTCGATACCTCGTAGAACATGCGAACGTTGAAAGAAAACTTGACACATTTCACAGTTCGTCATCCGACTGGAACAAATACTTTCAGGAATTTTTCTTTGGGAAACCAGAGAACTTTCCAGTGACGCACCTCACTCTGTGGTATACTGGCTAGCATCTTGTCCGCACTCAGCGGCGAATTTTCACGAGAACCGTCGGACCGCCAGTGCCAAGTCACATCCAGCATCGCTCCCTTGAACAACCCACCATCCACAATTGCCTGCAAAGAACAAAGTTTGACCACATAAGAGTTACTCATCAAAATAACGAGAGCTAGCAGTCAAAATACCTGGTCCGCGTCTTCTCGATTACGGAACGTCAGAAGCACCTTGGGATCTTTCCCTTTTATCACTTCGATGTTCATAATCTCACCAAACTGACCCATGTGCTCTACCAAAGCATCGGTGTCACCAAGCTAAATGACGAAATGAACAACTGAACAAATTACTAGAAATGCCCCCAATTGACAAAGAAAAGCTTGAACCTTGAAACGCTTCACTGCAATCACTGCAGACTGGCGCTTTGCATCGACATCGCCACCTGAATAATCAACATTCATATTTGGCACCGAAGAACTCGTACGAGCAAATGAAAAAACTTCATTCAAATTTTGAGAATTGACTCATACCATCTTCTGCTTTCCGTTTGAGAAGGTTCTGAGTTGGGACCACTGCAATCTTCCCTTCTTGACTTGGAGATGATGGGCTCGCACTATCCCTGTCATTTTCAGAACTTTTCTCTTTGCCTGCACTTTTTTCTGACGCTATTTCTTTCTCCAATTCGGCAATGTGTTCAGTGCAGCTCTTTAATTTCGCCGAAAGTTCGTGAATCTGAATTTGAAAGATCATGGACTGACCGATGTAGTAGTAAAATAGCTGGCATGCAACGCAGAACGCTACTAAGCACGTCCAGATATATCTTCATTCATAAAGAGCATTGGATCTTTTACCTCTTTCCTCCCAGCAGTTATTTTATCCATCATCTTCTTAACAACGCCCAAAAGTTTCTTCTTTTCTGTTGGATCCAAAGTGTCTGCCTCAGTTTTCAGCTGAAATGTAAGTGTTGACGTTTACAAAATCTCAATTAAAACTCAGCATTACCTTCAAAACCACCGCTTTTTGACGATCCACCAATTTCTGAAGTAGATCAGTTTGGCGCTTATGTACGTTGAAAAGTGAGAACTGAGCTGCCTGAAAGAGAAATCATTTTCAGAGAACCACGAGGAAAATCAACGCCGACTCCACGATTCCATACCTTCTCGGCTTTCAGTTTGCGTCTTGCTTCTATAATTTTCTCACGCGTTTCCTTCAATTCTTTGTTGATGAATTTCGAATTCTCAATAGTCACGACCTAAACAAAAACATGGATCACTAACATATAGTTCCGTCGCTTGATTATAATTAATAAAATCACCGGCTTCGGAGGTTGTGGTGGTTGTACTGGAGCTCCCTCTGTTGCAGGCTTGTCAACATTAACACCAGAATTCAGAACAGAACGCTGAACACCCTAAAACACGGTTTAAGAAGTATCAAAATAAAAGAAAGAACCTCACGCATAATCCATAAGTCACAAAAACTCTTACATCCTGTCCAGCAGTTGATCCAGCAACAGCATCCGGGTTGTAGAAAAACACTTTGATGAAGCGGTTGTTCAGAACTGGTTGAGGTGACTTATACGCAGCCATTGCCTCATGACGGGATGCATAAGAAATCAGAGCCGAGTCGGGCTCCCCATTGAAACGCACCTATAAAAAGTAGTTATGAGAAAAAATTAGCAGGAATTCAACATTTTTCGTCAGTACCTGCATGTTGACGATACTTCCGAATGTAGCAAAGTGCTCGTTCAATTTTGCGATGTTGTTGAACTCTGGTGGGATCTTTTTCACCTGAACAGTCAATAGATATAAGGCTTTTGGGGAGGAAACAAAAGGGGCATTTTCTTCATCTGTAACCTAAGTAAATGCTAGTTGCAGATCCCAAACAAGTGGCGGCTTTGAATCTTCCAAAAGTTAAATGAAAGCTGTAAACAATACACACCTGCAAAGTCTTGCCATCTCCACGGTTATTCGACACTTGAGGGAATCTTCCTGTTGCTGGCCCACCACGGCCACGCCCACGCATTCCACCTCGCATTATTGGCTGCCTAGGAACAGCTGCTGCCGAAGAGGGATCTACTGGTATGCCTCCGGACGGATCGTATCCGATCTGTAACATCCATGTTTGAAGGGACTCAAATCCATTATTGATGAATAACATCCACAGCGCGCAAAAACGTAAATAAACATACCGTAGGAACAACTACATTAGCAGTCGTAGGCACAGCATATGGACTCGGGCGCCATGGAGTCGTACTCAATGGAACAGGAAGTGGTGGAGGTGGCATTGAAAAATCTGGTCCACTCAGAGAAGGTGCTTCAGGGTTGTATCCTCAAAGTAGGGCAATGTGTAAAAGATGCAAAAGGAAAAAGCTGAATCTATGTATATTCAGTCCATACCTTCAACAGGCCTTGGACCAGGTGGAGGCCCTGTAAAAATAGGCTCGACGCCTGGTGGGGGTGGATTGGGAGGGTGGTAGCCTGGAGGTGGAATCCTAAAAGCAAGATTATGAGAAATTGAAGCACTGAAAATTAAATTCCGGTAGTACTTACGTGAAGTTATGTGAAGCTGGCTTTTCGGGGATTTTGACCATTTTCTCAAGTGCAGAGTCGTCAACAACCACAGGATCGGGGCCGTGATCGAATACACAATGATCTCCTTGCATGCAGTATCCCTTCTCTTAAAAAAGATCATTATCATTAATGAGAAGATGGATACATGAGTTGTTCATGAATACCAGACATATCAGAAACCCACCGTCATAATCACGACAACGCCTTTTTCTACGCTCATCAATGCGTGGAGATCGCCTCTCTCGGCGTTCTGGAGATCTACTTCGTCCACCGCTTTGAGATCTGTACATAGCACATTGGAGTAAATAATCGTCAAGCAGGTAACAATTTTCATCAAAATTTCACAAACCTGGTTCTTCTTCTGTCTCCTCTGAAACGATCGTTCGGAGAACGCCGTGCTCCTAGTCTTCCCCTGCGGTCACGAGGAGATCTAGAGCGAGAACGACGCCTCGGTTCCCTCAATGGTTCTCTGCCATCTCGGATAACATCACGAACATCTCGCTGAATAAAAAAATCACTAGTAAAAAAAAATCGAGATTGAAAGTCAGAGTGTTCTATTCTACCTATCTACCTATTCTTCGATTCTACATTGACGTCAATGCAATTTTATCAAGTGTGGAGGATATAATGTTGTCTCAAATTCTAAAAACTCGGTAAACAAAAATACCTTTACGTTGTCGCTGGGCGGCGGACTTATTCGTTTGCGCGGTGGTCTTTCATTTCGCACAGGTGGAGGTACATCTTCTTTTTTAGGTGTCTTTTCAGGAACAGCTTTACGGCGATCGTCGCTGTGATCACCATTACGACCAGATTCTCGAGAAGGCTATAAGAAGAAAAAGTGATTCATTGATCCAGGTTTAATTACAGAGACAAAGTAACGCGAAAGGTACCTTTGGTTCAACCACTTCTCGCTCCTTCTTCCTAACTTCTTCCCTCTTTGCAACGCGTTCCTTCACAACTTCTTCAGGGATCGGAGATGGTTCTTTCTTTGGCACATATGATCCATCTTTTAGCACAGCAAACATTTTGTCCACAAACTTTTTTGTATCTTAAAATACAACGAAATCGAATTGCGGCAAACATGAAGAAGAACATAGAAGCTCAGTAATCTGGCAGAATTCAAAGAAATTGAGGGTTCACTTACTTCCCTGAAGAAAAACCTCCAGCTGGCTACTGCTAAATGCACGCATCTCTTCATCGGACTTGTTCGGCTTACGTAGCAAAGCAAGAACATACTTTGCAAGTGTACCGGGCTCAGCATCGCAACTGCAAAAATGTGAGATAGATGACTTTCGATTCTAACCTATCAGATGGAGAACCTCGGTAAAAAGCTCAGAAACAGACTCCAACGGGCTACAGCTAGATGTAAAGCGTACATTTACAAATAGCAAGTGGACTTACACAGGGGTCAGTTCGGCAATGAGCCAAGAGGTGAATTCTTCGACATTTTCGATATGCATTTCGTTACAATCAGGAAAGTGGCAACACCTCAATGGTTGATCGAACAGGAACTATTCTTTTTAACAGTTCACCTTTCAATTCACCTAAAGCAGGATGGGATCAAAACCAGTTTATCGTAGCATTAGCAAAGACGAAAAGACGCACGAACAACGAATGACCGAATGCCGCAACACCAGTTTTGCGGAAAGAATTGATGAAAATGAAACACACAACACATCGAAGATAGGCAGAACACCAAAAAACAATCAATTGCCTGTGAACGACTCCGTGAACTGTATGGAGAGTGGGAATCAAAATAAAAGAGGTGTTATGTGGTAGATGACTAGTAAGTAAACCAAATGAAATGGCACGAGTTATGAATGGCTGTTATGAATCCATAGAATAAACAGCACAACGCCATAATCGAAGGAAAATGCGAGAACAGAGGGGATTGAACGCGTGGAGAGCGAGTCGATGCGCATAGGCGATAGAGAAACGAGCGTCGATAGAGGAAGCAGACAATCGCGACCACCGCTGCCTGTGGACGGCGTAACGCCCGCTTCTGACGTATCCGGGTGTCCCACGACATATAACAGGTCCCCCAAAACATTGAAAGGGACACTGTTCACGCTTAGCTCTATGACGCAAATCATTACGATACTTCCTCAAGATGGTTATAAGAAGTTCTCCGTAAAAGTTCCATGGCTTTGAAGAGTGTCTCGCCCACTACTAATAACATTAAAAGAGGGTGCTAGCTAACATTTCTTGCTTGCAACTGATGGAAGAACTTCTTTAAGTCTCTGAAACGACAAGAAAAAAGAGTTGGAACACAATATCGAACTGGACGTGAAGTAAAGTTTTATAAGGTTTTCAAGAGAACAACTCAGTTCGAAAGAAAAACGACGGGAACACAAAACAACGATTAAACGTAAAGCAAGTAGCCAATAGCAGCTATGAACTTCAGCAAACAGCTAGCACATAAGTTCAATCCCGATCAATTTCTATCGCCCTCCCCCTCCACACACGTACACAAACTGCATGGCTCCACCAGCAGGAGTTATAAAAAACAGGTTCAAAACGCATATTAATCACAGGCACACAGTTGTTCATTGCCTAAAATAGTTGCTCCATATTTTACGACTAATATTACTGTGGACTATTCTCAGTTGTGAGTGTTCACCTGCTTTACCTCCTCTTCTTTATACCTTATCAACTATTAATTCTCGAACCAAAAGTTTTTGAAACGCCACAAAAAGGAGTTGCCAGTACGAGTGGATACACTTGAGTGCAATTTGCATAGAACGTACCATGAGCAGGATCACATCAAACATTTGGCTCCAGCATGGGCGATTGTTTGCTCTTTGAATACATCATTCTTTCACAGTCTCACTGAGTCTTATTCATTAACTTATTCCGAACTTTCCTTCATGTAGTACTTATTAAGGATTCATTCTACGGATTAGAAGCTTCCACACTTGCAGTACTGTAAGCTGACTAATCTAAGCTGTCTTCAGCCTAATACCGTTGAAAAGACTGTTACTGCATGATAGACTCTAAGAGCCCATTCTCCTTTGACTCAATAAAAGCACAAACCACATCCACGGTGGAGAATTTGTTAAAGCAGCTCTCTGTGAGTTCCGTGGACAGTTTTCCTTATTTCTTATCTAAAACAATCTTTTCCCACGTAGCATTCCTCTGTTGCTTCCCGTCAACATCCCAAACATAGCACTAACAGCACTTTAATCTCTTAACGCTCTCAGGCCACTACATACACGGCTATCAATCTGACACTTTGCGATAACGACTACCCATTCCAAGCCAATCGATTGGGTGGGACGATCGCCACGAAGGTGGCCCGGGCCGCCTATCCCAGTTGATCGATGGTGTGAGTCAGCATTTCGTTTGTGATGTGGGAAAACAAAGCATGAGGAATACAACACGAGTCGCACTATTGTTTCATACTATTACTTGACGTTAAATAACACACGTACAATAACAAGTACTAGTCGCGATTACATCACGAACACTACATCCCCGCATAACAACGAACGTACTACGTTAGGGACCTGGTACTCTTTGAAGATTCATTTTTGACTTGCAAGTGTTGATCGCCATAAATTGCTGGGAATGGAACGGGTTGCTGTCATAAATGGGTACTCGTTTTGATTTAATTTACAACGCCGGTCAGACTGTAACTACCCCGATATCATAAACCTGGAAAATGAGTTAGTTTTATAATTATATCAAAGCAAATGTTTCTTTCCCGAAGATTAACTCTCTTGAAAGAACTGCAGGGGAGCATTTATGGACGGGAATTGGATAGGGATACTGTATCATTGTTGGCTTCAACGTCACGCTGTATAAATGGTGTTACTGTCATTACTTGTTTACATAAGACCTATTACTGCAATGGCTTGAAGTGCGAACGATCGCGCGTCAAATTTTGCCTCAATCGACGTCGGAGCCTCAGAAGGCGAAAGGTGTCACTGCTCATGATTACAGTGCTTCAATTGTGTGTTGAAAGGAGCACACCCTTTCGATCACCCTGTTAAATATTTTAGTTTTAGACACCCCATCCGTCGGTACAGCTCATGAGCGCAAGTATTTAAATCTACTTGCTACTGAATAACCAATATTTCCTTATTTACTTAAATGAAATGACGGCTTAAAATGAGTTCAATAACAGTTCTGATTGGTCCCATATGAGATGCCGAGTCCAGAAAATCAAACGGTGCGTTTTATGGCTCAGTTATCAATGAGGCCTGGAGTTTATCTCTTGTTTCAACAAACCGAAAGCAGCCAAATCAAAATGGTGGAGTGCTGCACAAACAGAACACTCCGAACGTGGGATAGCTTTGAAAAAGCAGAAGAGAACGACTTTCCCTGAAAATGATGAGCGGCTTTCAACAAAGGCTATGACGCTCAAACACTTTTCTGCTAATGGAATCCGCCCAATAGCATCAATGAGACTGAAGTAGTCACAAACCCGTCGCTATAAGAACTTCCATAAAACTTGCCATTAGGCAGGTAAAGAACTCCAAAGATCTACATTTTCCGTAATGCCGCGAACATTGCCTTTGGGCCCAATTCCCTGTGGTTGATAGAGTAAAATTAGAGAGAAGTGAACTACCTAAATGGTCGAAAAACTCAACAAAAAAGGACATCAGAAAGAAAAGATCGCCTTCACGCACTCTACTATCACTCCCCTCAACCAGTAGCTTATTGGTTGGTCATGGATCTCGCCACTTACACATCGAGCTCTGCCGCTAACCAGTAATGTGGTAGGCGAACATTGAAGGNCTCATGAGCGCAAGTATTTAAATCTACTTGCTACTGAAACCAATATTAACCAATATTTCCTATTTACTTGAGTGAAATGAAGGCTGAAAATGCGTTCAATAACAGTTCTGATTGGTCCCATATGAGATGCTGAGTCCAGAAAATCAAACGGTGCGTTTTATGGCTCAGT